TAAATCTGTATGCAATATTTTTAGAATTATCAACAATTTAAAATTGTTTAGTGCCGCTAAGCCTAATAATTTTTGATGGCGGCCATGCTCTTGTTTACATTTGAAACCAGGATAGAACTTAGCTCACAACAGCCAAAGATAACGCTTCATTTATTATTTAAATCATGCTTAAACTTTTCTGCAATTTTTTCGCGGAAATAAGCGTTTAAGATTTACTTCGAATTTTTAATACAGAATATTTTGAGTTTTTATGTATTTTTCCTTGTCGCGAAGTGAAACTGAATTAATTGAATGAATACTCATCGTCTGTGAAAAAACTGTTCTTTTTGTTTTGTTGCTTAATTTCTTTTTACATATTTCTAGCTTTATATAGTATTTGAGAGAACATGTGGCAACGATTGATAATTCTTTAAATGATATAAAATTTGTGCATTCTGAGTTATAAGGAACGAAGTATAATACTGTTAAGTAAACCTAGCGCCAGAGTTTTGCTATGGTAAACAAAGTGAATTTTAAAGAATGCATTTATTCTAGTGTGGTTTATGCGCTATCGGCGAAGTAGATTTAATTCAATCTAATAAGTTTAAATGAAATGCAAGAAAAAATGCGTATAATTTAATATTCCGTACAAGGAAGTCATGTGGTGTACACATCAGATTTTTTTCTTTTGTTTTAATTCTTTTTAAAAGCTACTATATTGGACAGCTACGATATAGGATTATACAGAACTTCTATCTTTTTGTTTTTTTTCTTTTGTTTGTTTCTTTTTAATTTATTTCCAGGTGCTGTCTTGAAGTTCCAGTGCCGCTGATCCGTGTTTGCGAGAACGAAAAAAGTATCAGGACGGACGAGTTGTGGTATCCGTAAGTGTAACACAACCACCAGAGGGTCTCACCTATGCGCCAGCAGCGAGAGCGAGGTCAAAGAGGTGTAGGACATTTAGACAGAGAGTCTTCTATCCCATGCGAAGGTGGTAAGATGTCTCCACGAGAAGGTGGTAAGACGTAGGTCTAAGCGTGAAGGTGTTAAATAATGAACTCTATGTTTCCACATAAAGGTGGTATATTGATCTGCATAATACGACAAAGTGGGAGTAGGCACTATACTCATATGTTATAAAATTGGTAAAAGCTATCCAGAATCCTATTTGTATCAAACGCCACTGTGCACTTTAATGTACCTTCTTCTGTTATTAAATGTTCTGTGGTGTGGAAAAGGTTGGACTTCTTAATTGACCCTAGCAAAGTATCTTCAACTTCCCTACGTCATATATATATATACATATATATATATATACGGCGTAGAATATTTTTGTGATGTCTGTAAGAACGTATATATACGTGCGTATGTGAAAACAATTAAGGCAAGTTCACAAACGCAGGAGAATGTTTGCATTAATATAGAAAAATAATATTTTCTCATAGCAGTTTTAGAAAATTTGTTCTTTTTTTGCGAAATCCCTGATCGGTCAGAGAGTTAAAACATAGACAGTAATTTAAGGATACTTCTTCAAACACATGAATTAGAAAGTACGGTTTAACTGTAAAAATACATTTTAGTATCTTTTCTTAATCTAAGAGAACTTTCAATAAATGGATATTTCTGCTTAATTGAAAAATCCTTATTTCCCAATTAATTAAAGCATTGGTTTAGTAAAATTATTTCGTGATTTGTTCATTACCTGAAGGTGCATAGCCTGGATGACCTAAAAAGCCTGGAAAACCTGCGCTCTGTGCGGCTGCAGCAGCAGAACTACCTGCAAAATGGTTTGGATAAATTCCATATATTCCTTCGCCTGCTCTTCTTCGTCTGATCCCCTGATCTTGTCCACCTGCAGAAGAATACCAATCAATTTTACTTCGAAAACAACTAAAAAAATAAGCTAATAAAAATAATTTTAAAAAATTTTTCGTAGTTTACAAATTGAAACGCTGTGTACTAATACATTTATGAGAAAACAACTGTAAGTAAAATCATACTTCTAAAAGACGCAATCATACAAAAATAAATAGCAAGAAGAAATCTTTCAATAATGAAACATCATCATCATGAGTTCAGTCACAACCACACATCGCAAGTTCAAACATTCAATCATATATAAAAGGAAGGTTTTATACACCAAACGTATAATAAAAGAAAGAGTCTGTCTGTTTGTGTGTGTGTGTGACTTTCATTCGTGCTTGCGCGTAAGCTAATAGACCGAAGGCTACGAAATTTGGTACGTAGGTGCATCTAGACAAGAGCCAGTGCATCTCGAAGAGAGTTTTTTCAAAATTCGAATGAGATTTTATTTTATGTTTTTTGATGAAATCGCATCAAATCGATGATTCTCTCTCATTATAACAACAACAAAGGCACGCACCATTGTTGCTGACATATCAATGTTGCCACTCGGAAAAATGAAGGCGATAATTCTGTGGAGTTTTTAAATTTAATGTTTCTTTTGGATACTGGACGTTTGCCGAGAGAAGGCAACGGGAAGTTGATTAATTTATTTATTAAGATAATTAATATTTGTATTAAGGGATATTTTATATTTCATTGTAATTTTTTATATGTAATACAATTTTATTGATTTTTTTTTGATAAGTTTGTTCAGCCAAGTAAAATTCTGTGCAATTTTTTAATTTAATGTTTGGTGTTTCCTTTAGGTATTTTTCCGGTACATTTAAAAGACAGACGAAGGCTGACTGCATAGCGGCTAGATATTAAATAAAGCAGAGCTTCAAAGAAGGTTAATATAATCTTTTTTAGAAGCTAACAAGTTCAAGATTCCCATGAAGCTCTTTTTGCGATTACAAATTTACTGCAAAAAATACATTTAAACTCTAAAGAAAGAAATAATTCTGGAATTTTATATGAGACAAGAGCATAAAATGTGTTTTAGTATTCTTAAAAACCTTTGTTACTTGTTAACCATTTTCCCACAGTTTATTCTGATAAATCAAAGTTGTCTTATTTTATAAATAAGGACGGCTTATAATTTTGCTTGCCTGTACGAGTATTTCCCAAGAAACAGAGGCAAAGTTTTCTTTTCTAACGAGTAATAAGTTCAAGACTCTGTTCATTAAAACACTAATAAAGACCAATAATGAAAAAAATATTTAATAAATTAGATGAAAACCTTTTTACAAAGCTTGGACTTCTCGCCCATATAGATACTGTTAAGAGATCCCCCCCCCCAGTTATAATAGGACGGTTAAAAACGTTTTTTCAATTTCAAAAGGAAATTCATAAAAAAGGGCATATTTAAATGTAAAATAAATGTTCATATTTTCCGCATTCAAAACTACTGGTAATATCTTAATTAAACGTCCAAAATTACAAGAAAATATAGACAACGAATTCACATATTTTATTTAAAAATTAAAAAATGATTACGAGAGAGTTCTGGTTCGAATGCATAATTTTCACCACTTTTTCTGAATTATTTTAAAATACTTTTAAAAAATGTAGAATTGATACGATTTTAAAGGGTATGACTATCATATTCAGCAATTAATAACTTAAGATAATAAAATTAATATTTAAAAAGTCTTATGCCATTTCTGCTCAGGGTTTTATTTGTGTAAAAGCTTAAGTCATGTCCTTCAAACACTACTACATCAACAAGCAAGTTATTGCTCTAGTCTAAATGAATATGACAGAGTTCTCAGAAGGTTAAATAATCTTTTTTGTTAACTCTTCAAATTTAACAGAAGGCACCACTTGTGTTTAGAAACAGAATTCAGACGTAGATTACACAAACTAGGTCTACTTAAGCTGGATGAAATCTTTTAACGTCGACTAGTAAAGTGGTTAAAGCCGTAATAGCCGGACATAAAAGGTATGAATTAGCAGTTAAGCAAATCATAAACATCTGGATGGTAACTGTGATTCATGTGATTACTGTGATCAGTGTATAATGATTTACATTTCTAATCATTACTTACAAGAGCTACAAATTGCGATATAAGGGAGAATATGTGGCAACTTTAGTTTAAAATTCTATATCCTCCTTTTTGAGTGCAGTCTAAGAGGATATATTTTGAAACTTTTATTATTGTCTCTATCTGTCTCCTTAATGTTGAAAAAAGACTAGGTTTTGTACTATTTACAATCCTGCTTATTGCCATTCCAACTCAGTGACGTATTTGACAAATGCACAACACAGATAGTGGATCTTCCCTTAGCTTTAAACCAACTAAGGCTTTTGCTCACTATATGGGCTGGTGCCCTAAGGAGTTGCACAAAGGGGGAAGAACATAAAAAATCATTTTTTATGCCAAAAAAGGCATATAACGTGGGTAATGCAAAAGTTAATTTACTTTTGAAAATTTGAAATTTTGTAATTTATTTGGCCAGCGGGAATAAGATCCGAGATCTGTGGGTTTAGGCTAAAAGGCGCAGTTCGTGGACCATATTCAGAAAGACAGAAAAGGCTTTCGAGGCTGATGTAGTACTTAGTTGACAAGTTGCTCCAGGATTTCTCTCTTTTTAGAATTTTCGGATCAAGAGAGAGGAGCAAGTTTCAATTACAGGGTTTTCTACTCACGAGGAATTCGTTCTACCACTTTTCTAAAGTGTTTCTCGTTTAATTTTTATATTCCTCACATTCATGGTATGAGCTGACAGACTGTTTAAAGCAAAAACACATATTTCTACTTTTAAGACTTGTCTAATTTTCAGTTAGGAATCTAGTGGCCTTGTGTATACTTCACGTATTTCAGAGCAAAACTTAAGTGTTGTAGATGTTCATAGCTCAAGCATTTGAAGCAATAGGGTAATTGTTTCTTTGGTCTGTATATAGTGATTTAACCCCAAAGTATAACACGAGTCTTATTGTAGGTCTCACGCCCCTCTGCTGTGTGTTCAATGAAATGCAAAAGCAATCTAATTAGTGTGTCGTCAGCAGTTTTGGTGAATTGCTTAACTTCCACGACTGCCTAATTTCTAAATAATAGGTTTTCTTTGATCTTTTCCTCCGGAATATTTGCATTCGTTATATTTGGATAATTTATTTATTTATTATAAGTCCGCCTGCTTCACCTCTCAATAGGCATAACAGGTCAGTCATGTTATTCAGATCGTTGCACCAGCAACCCTTTTTGGTTGTTTATCTTTTCAACCATATTATTAATAAATATATTTAACATTAGTGCATTAATTTTGTTAGGTACTCCAACTTACAATGTTTGGAGTATGATAGTATTAAATTAGCAAAAAGGGCTAATTAGTTTGGAGATATTTACATATATACATCAAAAACGCACTGGGGAAATGGTGTAGCACCAGGGTGCCTGGATCAAGGACCTTACCCCTTGTAGAACAGATATGTTATTTCAAATACTGCCATGAGTAATTAGTAAATATTTAGAATTTTATATATATGTATAGATATATATAAAAATATATAGAATTAAATCATATTTTTAATTTTTTTTTAAACTATAAGAATAGAAATAAGATAAAAGATAAATTTCTAAAAAGACTAAAGTGTGCGTCAAGTTTCAATAGACCTGAAGTGCTATCTGGGAAGGTTGAGAAAGGAGGAATGAGCTGGCTATAGCCTGATGCAGAAAAAACATTCGTATAAATAATAGGCAAAGTAGTATGCGTTTCTTGGTGCACTAGTATAATTAAATCTTAAATCTAACACAATAAGGTTCCCCTCAGAAAAAAAGGGACAGTGCTATCCTCCCGTTCTACTGGGCCAATTGACAAATTCCAAACTGCGTTTTTCATGTCTCGAAAGCGCGACTTAGGATATATGTTAGATTTATATATAGCCTATCTAACATAGGTATTTTGACACAAATCGGACTTTTTCTGAAAAACATATCATTTTTTTGGATATTTCGATTCTACGACTCAATTATACCAGATTACCAAGTTTGTAAAATCGTACGAGTAGTTTTTTATTAGCTCTCAAATTTTAGCTCCTCAATGTAATTTGAATTTAGTAATATTTATTAATATCTCTTTTTTATTAACTTTTATTATTTTCCCGTCACATTCGAAATTTAGGTTTATTCCAAATAACATTTACCCATTTTGTGTGTTTTATTTTTAATTTCTTTTTAAATAATTTTTTATAAATTTTTCGAAAAACAATTTAAATTATAACCTATAAATTTTTTACCATCATCTTAAAGTAGGTGTATTTTTAATTACTACTTTGATAAGCATATCTGCAAAAAATTAGACTTTTTAATTCAAAATTTTCTAAGAAATACACAAATTTACATATTTTCGCGTTTTGAAATTTGGCATCTTTTTTGGGGGGGGCTAATAACGCCAAATGTGGTTTATGGATTTTTGTTACATTGAATTGCCACAGCTATTTTTAACCGTAAATTTCAAGTAAAATTCTACGGAGAATTAATTATATGAATTTTTCCCTCAATGATGCGTAATAAATATTTATTAATACTATATGAAAGCAAATTTTTTTTAAATTATGATGATAATATTCAATTTTACTATTTTTTAATTCTCCTTTCTTCCTTTTTAAAAAAAATAAGAGTAAATTTTTGTAAGAGTTTTTACCTTCGGCGTTTATCCCTGCTACTTTACTTCGTTAAATCGAATTGTCTAAAACGAGCATTTTCGTTTGATGTTTATTTGAATTTTACGAAAATTTTATGCATTAACTGCATAATTTATTTCTAAGCAAACTGTTGCTTATGAATTCCTGAAAGAGCGGCGGTGATACTATCATCCATATTTTTAAAGCACAGTACATTTTTATAGAAACTAAGATTTAGAATAATCATTTTTATAAAGTTCCTTATGATATAAACATACAACCCTCTAGAACTGAATTAATGAAGTTAATGGTTATGTAGAATG